ATGCAAGTGCTTGTAGACCTTGGATCGAGGCTTGGAATTCCCTTAGGAAAAAGCTTAAGGATAAGTTCATTCATTGCAACATAGCATGGGTTATTAGGGAATCCCTCAAGAGGCTAAGATACACAAGCATTAGACGGGACTATATGAAGGAATTCAACTCATTAATGCTGAATATCAAGAATATGTCTAAGAAGGACAAGCTCTACAACTTTATGTTTGGGTTGTAAACTTTGGGTACAAGCAAAATAAACTATCATTGTGATGCAACAGCTTTTGTCAAAATTTGACGAGTTTGTGTTGTAGAAGAACTAAAAGATTTTCACCATCATAAATGATGTTCTATCCTTGACAAAAGTTTTCTAGGACAACCCGAAAGACATGGAGGATGAAGTGGCTTTGGTGAAGAGAGCACTTCACAACCAAACGGTGGTTGGTGAGGCATTTGCCTCAAAGATCAAAATCCCCAAACTCAAGTATTTATTAGGCACTCGGAGTGCCAAAGAGCTAGAGAACTTTTTTTGGGATGTGGAGCAATACTTCAAGGCTGCTCGTGTTCCAACGGGTGACCAAGTTAGTGTCACTAGCATATACCCCTCCAAGGATGCCAAGCTTTGGTGTTACACTCAGATCAGATTTAAGATTCTCTGAAGGAGGAGCTTAAGGATTAGTTTCTCCTTTGTAACACAACCTGGGTTGCTAGGGAGTCCCTCAAGATGCTAAGATACACAAACACTTCGCGGGACTATGTGAAAAAGTTCAGCTCATTGATTCCAGACATCACAAATATATTTGAGGAGGACAGACTCTTCAACTTCATGTTCAGGTTGCAAACTTTGGCATAAGCAGAATTAAGATAATAGGGTATTCATGACCTACCTACAGCCATGGTTGTGGCCGATGGCTTGGTGGACTTCAAGATCAATGGGTCTAATGAGAGTCGGACAATAAGAAGTCCATTAGAGGCAAAAATAACGGAAAGAATGCCTCCAAGTTCAACAAGAAGAAGAAAAATGGTAACAATGCTAACAAGTCCACAGACACAAAGCAACCTAGCAGCAGTGACTTCAGTCTTGATGGTTACTTTCTTTGTAATGGGCCTCACGAGGTGAAGGATTGCCCTAAGCGGAAGAAGCTTAGTGCAATTGAATCGGATGGCAAGGATAGCGACAGTGACAACTGGGTTCCAAATCACACCAATCCTTTGTAACTTCTTAATGCCATAGCAGAGAAGTCTTGACCATTGTAGATGCTAGTACTTCCCACAACTTTATTATAATTTCTTGTCCCACATTGGATCTGAATGGGAGGGCGGCTTATAAGGGCGAGTAGGCAGCTCTACCTATCAATTTAAGCTTTTAAGTTGGATGATAATCACACAGACCGTTACAAGTGGTATCAGAGCAGGCCCAGTCTTTGATCCATTGCACGTTAAGCAATCATAAGAATGGCGTCCAGATTCGAGTCGTTATTGGGTCCTTCCGCCGTTGGGGGGACAAGTAGGCAGGGTGGACTGACCACACCGAGGTTGTTACAACTTTAGTTGGGGAGGGGGGGGGGGATATTAGATATTCTTGTCCTTGATAAAGAGGGTCTTGAGATTATAAGGACTGGTAGGAAACTCTTCCTAACAGCCAAAATAAAACATATTTATGCATAACCCGTACCAAAACTTACCGTTTATTGGTTTTTGGAACCAAGATTGAACCATTCTTTACTCTGAATTCAACTGGTTCACAGGTTTAAAAGATTTTGCATGCACCCCTCTTCCATCTCTTTTAGATTCCCTTCATATCATCTTTATACCCAACTTAGCATCAACATTGGAAATATCAACCGTGGCATATTCATAAGGTACCATTCCATTATTTAAATAACGTACACTTCATTATTTACATAACAAAGATATTAGATATCATATTGAAATCATCCTGTATTCCAACATATCGTAGATATTATATATCATATAGGCATCATCATGCATCCATTATTCTTGTAGAAATTGGTTAAAGGACATTGGTTTTTAGAACTTCTACAGTATTTTATGACCTCAGAGAACTGGCGAATATTTGATGGCATCAGCGTATTTTTTTCCTAGATGAATATTTGGGACATGAAGCAGTACTTCAAGGTTGTTCGTGTTCTAAGGGGAGAAAGGGTTGTTATCACTAGCATGTACCTCTCTGGGGACGCCAAGCTTTGGTGGTGCACTCGAATGGAGGAAGTGCTTGTAGACTTTGTATTGAGACTTGTAATTCCCTAAGGAAGGAGCTTAAGGATAAGTTCCTTACAACATAACTTGGATTACTAAAAAATCCCTCAAGAGGCTGAGACACACAAGCATTATATGGGACTATATGAAGGAATTTAGCTCATTAATGTTGAACATTAAGAATATGTCTAAGAAGGACAAGCTTTACAGCTTCATGTTCAGGTTGCAAACTTTGGGGTACAAGCAAAATAAACTACTGTTGTGATGTAACAGCTCGTGTCAAAATTTAACGAGTTTGTGTTGTTGTCGAACTCAAAGATCTTCAGCATCATATATGATGTTTTTATCCTTAACAAAAGTTTTCTAGGCCAACCTGAAAGACATGGAGGATGAAGTAGCTCTGGCGAAGAGAGCACTTCATAACCAAACGGTGGTTGGTGAGGCAATTGCCTTAAAGATCAAAATCCGCGAACTCAAGCCTTTCGAAGGCACTCGGAGTGCCAAGGAACTAGAGAACTTTCTTTGGGTTATGGAGCAATACTTCAAGGCTACTCGTGTTCCAAATTGACCAAGTTACTATCACTAACATGTAGCTCTCTAGGGACGCCAAGCTTTGGTGTCTTACCCGGATGGAGGATGATGCAAGTGTTGGTAGACCTTGGATCAAGACTTAGGATTCCCTAAAGAAGGAGCTTAAGGATTAGTTTCTCCCTTGTAACACAACCTGGTTGCTAGGGAGTCCCTCAAGAAGCTGGGACACACAAGCACTTTGCGGGACTTTGTGAAGGAGTTCAGCTCATTAATTCTAGACATCATAAATATATTTGAGGAGGACAAACTCTTAAACTTCATGTCCAGGTTACAAACTTTGGTGTAAGCAGCATTGAGACAATAGGGTATGCGTGACCTACCTACAACCATGGTTGTGGTCAATGGCTAGGTGGACTTCAAGATCAATGATTCTAATGAGCGTTGGACAAGAAGAAGTCCACTAGAGGCAAGAGCAATGGAAAGAATGCCTCCAAGTTCAACAAGAAGGGCGACAACAAGAAGAAGAAAAATGGTAACAATGCTAACAATTCCAAGACAGACTTAAAGCAACCTAGCACCAGTGGCTCCAGACTTGATGGCTACTTTCTTTACAATGGATCCCACGGGATGAAGGATTGCCCTAAGCGGGAGAAGCTCAGTGCAACTATATTGGATGTCAAGGATAGTGACAGTGACGATGGGGTTCCAAATCACGCCAATCCTTTGTAGCTTCTCAATGCCATAGCAGAGAAGTCTTGGCCATTGTAGATGCTAGTGCTTCCCACAACTTTATTAGAATTTCTTGTCCCACATCGGATTCGAATGAAAGGTTCTTGGATTATAGGGGCGAGTAGGCAGCTCTACCTATCAGCTTAATCTTTTAGGTTGGATGATAATCACACAAACCATTACAAGTGGTATCAGAGCAGGCCCAGTCTTTGATCCATTGTGTGCCAAGCAATCATCCAGATGTTGTCCAGATCCAAGTCATTACTGGTCCCCCCATCGTTCACGCGCCGCAGCGGGGGGTTTAGATTCTTGTCCCTGAGGGTCTTGAGCTTATAAGGACTTGTAGGCAACTTCTTGTCCCTGAGGGTCTTGAGCTTATAAGGACTTGTAGGCAACTCTTCATAACAGCCAAAGTAAAACAAATTTACGCATAACCTAAACCAAAACTTACTGTTCCTTGGTTTTTGGAACCAAAATTGAACCATTCATTACTTTGAAATCAACTGGTTCACTGGTTTAAAAGATTTTTCATGCACCCCTCATCCATCCCTTTTAGATTCCCTTCCTATCATCTTTATACCCAACTTAGCATCAGCATACCATTCCATTATACCCAAAATTCCATTGACCATATGTTATAATGGAGCTAAGCCTGGCTTAATGATGCAGCCGTCTGAACATAGTAGCACCATATCTTTGGACAAGGGACATGCCATCACACCAAGGATCATGCAAGGGAGAAAATTTGGCACCACACCCTAAGTCAGGTTGGAATGCCTATAGAGTGCAGTCTCAACCTTTGCCTTGGTCTAAGTTATGTGGGAAATTCTGTAGGCCTAGAGTTGCTGTGGTTGTTTCATTAATACTTCAACATAGGAATTTGACATTTGTTCACCTACAGAGAAGAGGTATAGTGTTGACCTCAATTTGTCATAACTACTATGCTGCTCTGGATGATGATAATCACCTATACTGTCCTTGCCGTTTTGCTGTTGCTGCTTGGAGTGAGGGGTTGGGGTAGACAACAAAGTGGTCCATGCCTCTATGAAGTGCACTCTTGAGGACATGCTTCTTATTTTTTCTTTGTTTTTATGTTGTGCATTAGGATTTTATGCTCTGAGCCCTATTGGAAATGGGCTTTTTCCTTGACTTGTGTTTGTTTCTAAGGGGTATGTCCCTTAGGCATCTTGTACTTTTATCACATTTATAAAACAATCAAAAATTTAAATTAAAGAGAACACACCAAGAATTGTGTACACGCAAGAGGAGTTGAACAGATGCTTCAAGAGACCAGAACAAGTGCTTACCCACCAGAGTCAAACCACCTTGGGGGTTTGATGGCATCACTGTCTCCACCACTACTCTCAAATAGTGATTGATCATTACCTTTTAGTACCCTTTGTTATAACTGCATAGGAACTTGAATACCACACAGAATCTGAAAGTAAATTTCCAGAAACCACAAAAAACAAGAAATAAAAAATACGCAACTTTTTTCTCCCACATACGCAACTTAATCATGCTCTTTCACTAATGAGAAGTCGAGTAGAGCAGTCATGCCTCCTATTACCTTCCTTTGAAGCAAGTATACACTAGCGTCCAAAAAAATTGATGCAATAAGATGGTACCTCTATTGACCATTAAAATTCATCCTGAACAGGAAATTCTAGGAAAAAAAAAAAAAAGATGAATGAATCGGGGGATAGGATGAGCACCGGGAATACAATCCCGAATAGCAGAGCAGTAATGACATCCAATTGCATATTTTAGAAGTGAAAGCGAATTATAGTCATTCAGTCCATGAAAACTGAGATTTCTTACTAGGGAATATCAAAGGAAGTTGCTGCACTACCAAAAGAAATAATTGCATAGTCAATCAGATGTCTTTGAAGATCATTGCTCCACTAGAACTCATCATCATCCTCTTCGGCTATATGCTTTGCAAGCTCTTGCTCCTGTTGTTGCCTCTCTCTCCTCTTCTCGGCACTTTCCTTCTCCTTATGGGAATTAGGCGGAAATCGAAGTGCACGCACTGCCTCATTATGCATGTTAAGGCAAAAGGCAATCCTCGAGTTGAACGCAATTTGAGGTTCATTTGTAGAGTAGATGTCCCCAGTCTCCTTTGATACCATCCACCCATTAGCATGATCTACCGTGGCATCAATTGCACCATCTCGGATTGCCTTGGAGACGATACTTTCAGCATCAGCAACAGGGTTTGCGGAGTCCAATCTCAGTTTTTTTGCTACATCAGCCAGTGAGATGCGAGAATAAGATATGCTGATGTTACGTAGCCCTGTCCTTATAACATTATGCCGCAGCCTAACGATCAAATTGTGGGTCCGGTCTGAACTGAAAGTACTGGAGAACTTCTCCGCAACAGATCTAAACAGCTCCAGATCTCCAATCCGAACAGCCTGAAAAAACCCACATATACTACTAGTCATTGGCAAAAACTTGTTGAGTCTGTTGAGACAACATGTGACCCAACGCTCAGACGCTATTATAAGGACCAACTGCATCAAATGACGGTTTTATGCTGTAAGAAAATTTGAAATAAGAATTCTAAGAACCTAAAGTTTAGACAAAATAACTGACACATGTATCTACCAACAACAATAGAAATGCTGCTCTTTTCTTGAAAGAACCAGCTACAAAGGGTATTACCATCTAACTCTCCGTCCTCAAATGATAAACATCCATAATTTGTAGAAGAATATTTATTATAGCAAAACACGGCAATCTTCAATCATCAATAGTTTCAGACATGATTCTTGGAGGAAGAGACAAAAAGGAAAGATACTCAAGTTTGATAAACGCAGACTCACATTTGTAAGCTCAAAGTATGGCCTCAAAGCCTTCTCCATGCCTTTCTGCATGAAAACAGTCCTCTCGGGTATTTCTCCTAGCAGAAGGCGGACTATCACAGCCCACTTGTTGCATTGAACTCGAAAACCAAGAGCTGCAACAGGGGCTTTCCGAGCAGCTTGCAGGAGGGATTCTTTTGCATCTGTATATTCCAACTGAATTGTCCTAATTTTTCCAAGATAAAACAGGTACCGGCAAAACTGCAATGAGAATGGTCAGTGTCAGGAAATAATAGATTGCAGAGTATAAAGATACTAATGTGCAAAGGTAAGGAGGCCAGAAGTGACATTGCAGAGTATAAAGATTCTGATGTGCAAAGGTAAGGAGGCCAGAAGTGACCAGAACCGTTGATAATAATGAGGACCAGCCACCAAAGTACACACACATGCATAAATATAATATACTGATCCCAAAATATGGAAGGAAACTGTATCTAAGGTTCTTCTTCAGTCTCTCAACACAGCAGTAGGGCTATCAAAACCACCCCTCTGATCTCTATGAAAGTAGAAGTATAATACCAAACAGCCAAGGGAAACACATGTATAAAATAGTAGAAAAGAGAATAACAATGACTTCTTTTATGTGTAAAAAACCAAAATAATAATAATAATAATAATTAATAAATAAATAAAACACACTTGATGTGTCTATCAAAGATTCAACTCCTCCTCCCATTAATATAGGAGGTAGACTAGCACAACAGAACTGGATTCTTATTGCCATCTAGCATAGAGGCCTTGATCCAGCACGTATGCTTCTTTTATGATGTGCACTTTGGAGAGCTTATGTGGGTTTAGTGGTCATTTATAATGTTCTTTCACTAAAAAAAATCTACTTATCTGCACACTTTCAAATTTCTAAATTTTCTTCGTGTTTCTCTTGCTTGAATGGGGGTGATTGCCAAGTTCAGTGGTAAAAGCTAGGACTATAAGCATGTTCCAGCCACTTGGTACAACAATAATGCCAAAGGTTAAGTCCGTATCCAATCTACTCCCTCCAAGCATCCTCAATAACTGAGACTACACTGGGAAATGACCTTTTTTTTTTTTTTTTTCCTCTTGTTTGAATTTGTAACTTCTTATTATTTTGTTTTAGTATTTCTCAAAAAGATCCATAATTTGACTTAAATGTTTAGCACCCCCTATCTCTCTCTTATTCCACACACGCGTGTTTATGTAAATGTATATTACTATTATTGTTTTCCCCTTGTAAGTTCCTACCTTCTCAATTCAATCCTTGGGTCCTGAAAAAACAAATCTGACAACCTCGCATCGGCTATGTACTGACCATGTAATTGGAAGCTTGAGGCAACCAAACCTAATTCAAGGTTAAACAAAATCATATATGTCCAAGTCAGACAGTTGTATATGTAGCAATGCAACCGAGTATTTACCAGATAACTGAACCATATTCCACACAAATTGGTGTGCCTTCAAATTGGTGAGAACGATAATAGGAGTTACCTGCTGATTAGAATGAGCTTCAAAACGGGGTGCCTTTGACCTCAGCTTCTCTGCCTGATCATATAAGTTGTAGTGCAGGTAATTGCGAAGTAGCAGGTTGAGAAGTGTTTCCTGCATAGCACCATTGAACCAAAAAGATAAGACACAAATATTAGGACATTAAATGATTGCTAATTCATTTGAAAACAAACCTGACCCAACTCGTCATGGCGCAATGTTGCGATCCGGTGCAAAGCAAGGAGGTTACTGTTGAAAAAAGAAGAACAGATTAGACAAAAAGAAGGTGAACGCAAAAGAGGTTATACAATGCATGCATACCAAGAAAACAGATAAAACAGTATTCAACTCCAATCCTGTTGTCTTTCTGGAACATGCAAGTACGCATTATTCGCCAACAAATATCGCAGATGATGCAGCTAATATTAGGGAATTCATATTAATAAAGAACTCACCCCCGAATGTCAGCTAAATCACCAGTAAGTTCATAACTAAGAGAGTAATAGAAGTAGAGCCGGGCAGCTAGAACATCAACAGTTCGCCTATTCAGGTTCTTCAGCCTGGCAATGCTTGCTGAGGAACATGCTTTAGCCTGAAGGACAACAATAACACTACTGAAGTTTATCAAGTGTTACAATGATTAGTAAACGATTTGCAACCTTTGACATAACCATACAGTGTTATACCTCAGTGTATTGCTTCTGATCAATTAAAAATATTAGCACACCCAAGTAGCAGTAAATCTCAAGCTCAGGCAAAGAATGTTTCACAGAAGCTTGAGTAGCTGATGTTGCCGTATCAACTTCCATCTCATGCTCATCTTCCTATAAAACAACATTTAAACTTGAAAAATTAAGGTCGCAAAAAGAAGGAAGTATGAAATTTGTAGTATTATTAATGGATACTAACATGAAGTTTTAACTATTGAAACAGAGATGGAAATTGTGAGCTCAGCGATTATCCTTTTTGTGATTGTTTTATAATGAAAGATCCCTCTTCAGGTATCCATATAAATTGATATCACTATAACATTTTCACATCAAAATGTAATAGGATTAATATCACAATGGGACTTGATGACATATATACTACTACTAGTACAAGTATTCGGAAGCAGAACATCTTAAATTACAGAAGTAATGACCATTAGAAGAGGCACATAACCACTAGCACAATTTGCCCATTTTCCAATTTTCTTGCAGTAAGCCCAGCTATTATTAGAAGATGTGGCCCTGGATAAAGCTATATATGAATAAAAATGATTCACCAAGCCAACACCGGATGTAATGAATATGAAGTCTTACCAAGTTGATCGAGTTTAAAGTGGTGTTTATAACAGTTATAGGACCACTGCTAAATTCCACAATAAGTCGCTTAGTGGTTAGACAACCAAGATAAGAGGATGCCTGATGGTGATTGTGTATAGTTTTGTGAATCAAGAGGATGAGCATTGTTGGATGCAAACAGGGAGTCTTATAAGCTGGTCAGCATTCTTGCCAATTGAAAAGGCAAGGGATGCTGGTCAGTTTGAAATGGACACATACTGTTAGACAGCAGTAGGAGGCTCCCACATACAATTAAAAGCTTTCAGTTCATTTAAGGGCAGAAAATAATAATTTAATTTTTTATTACTTATCAAAAAAAAAAAAGGGCAGAAAATAATAATAGATAGAATCTATATAAAATACTCCAACATAGACACATATACAGATTAGTGCTATCAGTACTTGACTGGATAAAGGCAAAGAGACCATTTCACACCAAAAAAAACACTTCTCGTTTGTATAAGAAAATATAACTAAGAAGATACAAGAAATTGAACACTGTTGGATGCAAACGGGAGTCTTTTCTTCTCCCTGTTATTGCCAATGTAAAAGACAAGGTGTCGCTGGTCAGTGTTTGACATGGATGCAATCTTGTAGACAAAGCCATGAGAGGATCCCCATGCATAACTAAAAGCACAATAGTTCATTTAAGGGCAGAATAATATATTTGAGAAAATTCATATAAAATAACTCGTACATTGAAAGAAGTAAACGGATGTTCGTACTTAAATGGATGACAGCAAAGAGACCACCCAGCATGAAAAAGTTTCTAGTTTGTACAAGCAAATATATAATAAGAGAATAACAGATAAATCTTCATATCATATAGATGGATATAACTAAAAACAACAAATAATAGAGTCTCATGTGTGAAAAAGATGGAACCCCACCTGTGGATGTAACTGCTGGAAAAGTAGGACGCTCAAAGGTGTTTCGATAAGGAAACAAATCCTCTATGCTGAAAACTAAACTAATACTCATATCTTATTGTAAGTCAAGTATATATGCACTAGGCCCTAACGTATGAATAACACGGAATGGTCAATTGGCTCATGCATGCAATTCCTTGAAGGAATTTTTAGGGTAACATTCTGGACGTATACAAGACAAAACATAATCTCCTTTATTAAATTCCTCGTTCCTACAATGAGGATTTACAGCAATGTTTTTAATTTTCATTACTTAAAGCAATTTTTCATCATATATCAGCATGAATGTCACAGATATGCTGGGCAAATGAATCAACAGACTCAAAAGGATATCAGGAGGCAAAGGAATAAGGTCCAGGATGGTGAGAGAGAGAGAGAAAACATACATGATCTCAAAGGGACTCTTAGCATTGGACCTACTGACTGAACTATTGTATGCCAACTCAGCGGTTGGCAACAATTAATCCCACGTACCCGAGCGTTCTCCAACAAGACACCTAAGCAAATCTCCTAGACTTCGATAAACAACCATCAATCTGAAGGTGAAAAGCATAGGAAAATTTCATATAGTCCCAAAAAGTTTCTAAAGTGTTCCAAAGGCAACTTACAAACTTAACCACTCTATCAAACACAAGGAAAGTGGGTAATCCGTAAAGCTGATTGATCCCTTTACAGAACAACTTTTCCATATGTGAGGCATCGACTGTTTTACCATGGAGTGAAATGTGCCAGCCATCTTTTTTTTTTTTTTTTTTGATAAGTGAAATGTGCCATCCACAGCAACTAAAATAGAATCATGTCCTCTAACTATTTTAGGTAAACTAAGGGTCAGTTTGGTGCGATGGAAAAGGGAGGAAAGGGAAGGGAAGGTGATGGAGGGTGTTTAAATAATTGTGTTTGGCTAAAATGGGTGGAAGGAAAAGAAAGGAGAGGGAAGGCTTTGGAGGGTTATGTATAGGTTTATACAGTAGTTTTCTTATCCTCCCAAAAATGGGAGGAAATGGAAGGAAAGTGAAGGCAATGGCTGATGGAGGAGTTATGATGCCAATTTTACCCTCAAGATTACACAAGTTTGCAAAACAATATACATACAAGTTAGCAGTTGCAGAGAGAATGAGAGACGGCGGGCCAGCAGCTGAAGCTTGCGAACGGTGAACCCGAACTGGAACAGCGGCAATGGAAACTGAAAGATATGGGTTTTGATTTTCTGAACAATCTGAAATGATATACCGATACAGGTTTTGAACTTTTGATTCTTGTAGACAGATAGATAAACTGAAATATATGGGTTTTGAACTTCTGATTCTTGTAGTGCAGAAGGGGAAGGGGAAGGGGGGGGGGGGGGGGGGGTGGGGGCAAGTTCAGAGTTGAGAACGAGAATAATGGAGGCGAGATTGGGGAGGCTGACATGATTTGCCCTAATTTTTTTCTTTTCTTTTCTTGTGGCCCATCAGGTATAGGAGTTTTCTTGTGCAGGTATAGGAGACTATATATATATATATATTTAAAAATATAAAAGGGTATAATAGTCAATTTATTAAAATAATTCCCTTTCCTTTCTTTCCCCTTCTTTTCCCAAACATGATTATTATCCTTCCCCTTCTTTTCCTTCATTAATCAACCAAACACAATAGAAGGTTAAAATTATCCCTCCCTTCCCTTTCCTTCCTTTTCCTTCATAACTAATGTTATCATTTCCCTTCAAACCCACCGTATCAAACATAGCCTAAGACAAAATACATACTAAGATCTTTCTACGGTGTGCACGGGACAGGTAGAGGGGTATACAATCAAGTGTTCCTTTTCTTAGCTTTCACTAATTGACTTGTTGGACACTGGGATACAATTCGAGCAATATCAACCTGTAAACTTTAAAGACGCCAATAAAATCTATCCTACACTAATGCAATTGTCTTATCCCTACCAAAATGACGCATTTCCTTCTCCGTGTAAATTCCAGTCTAAAAAGTCTTTAATAGAGGTACGAGGAAAGCATAGTCTTGTCCCACGAAATAGATAAATGTCTCAGATTACAAAGTCAATATAATCTCTATAGTAACTTCTTGAATTTCTTGAAAGATCCCACCAAAATTAGGACAACTAGAAAATACTCATCCTTCATCCATTCAAAACCTATGACATTGACACTCGGGGCTAGTTTGGTGCGCTGGAATGGGCTAGAATGGAATGACCATTCCAACTTCTGATTACTTTTCCCTTGTTTGGTGTGGCATTTTAAAGGTGGAATAACCATTCCAACTCATTCCCTGAGAATGCTCATTCCATCAAAAAGTTGGAATGGCCATTCCACTTCTTGACCAAAGGAATGGCCATTCCATTCCCAAAAAAAATTAAAACAAAATATGAGTAAAACAGAAAAAGAAAAAAAAAAAACCTCTAACCTAAAAACTTCTCTCACACATGACTCATGAAATCTCTGAGACAACCTGCCACCGCCTCCCTCAGCCGTCTTCCTCCACCGTCTCCCTCAGCCATCTTCCTCCACCATCTCTCTCTTTTCCAATAAATGGCAGACACTCCTAAAAAAACTTTCCTTTGCTTCCACTTCTCCCCTCACAGTTCCACACTTCACTCTCTCACCACTATATATCTGTCTTCCTTCTCTGTCACCATTGCCGGTGGGCGGCGGCGGCGGAGGGCTGTGATGCCTATGCTTTATTCAATCTCATTGTTGTTTTCACCGGCAAAGAATTGAATTCAGATGAATTCGATTCCGCTGAAGAACACAGCGATGAAATGATCAGAGAAAAAATTTCTAACTTTTTGAGATTTATAGAATAATTAAGGTATATAGTATTCACAGTCGTAGCAATAGTGGAGAGGAGGTTTGGTATCTCTATCGCCGTCTCAAACACTGCCGGTCAGATAAGGTGGTGATAGATCTGTGATTTGGGAATGGAAATTCAAATAGTAAGCACCATAGAGATAGATGCATAGAAGTTCATTAGAGATATCAAGCAGATTGATAAAACTCAAAGATATAACTGATGTTGGCGGATTCATACTACAAATTGAACTGTTGAACAATTCTTATTCTTATTTATTTTTAGTTTTTTTGAATTTTGAAATTTGATAGGAATATTTTGAAAAAAAAAATTCATTCCATTCTAGTTTTAGGATGCTCCAGCCAAACATTGGAATAGAAATAAGCATTCCATTCCTTATCATTTCACGTTTGAAACCAAACAATGGAATGAGAATGACCATTCCTTTTCCATTCTCATTCCATTCCATTTTATTCCTGCACACCAAACTAGCCCTGATGGCTTGAATAACCAATATAACTTGACTAAGAGCATCAACTTGTTTATTTTCTATTCCAGTCCAACAATTGAGTACAAAGGTTTACTCTTGCATAAAAGCAACCCATTTCACAATTTTGGTTAAGATTGGGGGTAACTCAAGGCTTGTTGATCAGAGTACAAAACAAACTCTTGATGTAACAAATATTATGGCCAATGGTAGAGTGCCCATAAAACAGTATAAAACTCTTTCTCATATGTAGAAGATTTCTTTTTAGCCATTAAGCTTTTCATGAAATACATGACT